TGCCTGCTCAGTAGAGTTATCCCCTGTGATTAGAATATCATCAACGTAAACTGCAACTATGGTAATCCTTCCTGCTGATTGTTTAAAAAACAAGGAATAATCATTTAAAGAATGTGAATATCCTTTAAAATTTAGGGTTGCAGTGAGCCTTGCATACCACTGCCTTGAGGCTTGCCGTAGTCCATATAGTGATTTTTTCAAAAGATAGACATGATTGGGTAAAGGTGGTGTTGTCCCTACTGGAAATTTCATAAACACCTCTTCTTGCAAATTCCCATGCAAGAAGGCATTATTCACATCTAGTTGTGACACCTTCCATCCCTTTTTCACTGCAATAACAAGTAAGCACCTAATTGTTGTCATTTTTACAACTAGGAAAAAAGTCTCAGTAAAGTTTATCCCTTCTCTTTGAATATTTCCCCTAATAACCAAACGAGCTTTGAATCTTTCCAAATATCCATCAGACTTGTATTTCACTTTGTAGACCCATTTGCAAGGAAGAGCTTTCTTTCCACTAGGTAAAGGCATAACCTCTCAGGTTTTGTTAAGTTCTAGAGCTTCTAATTCTTTTTCCATTGCTTCCTGCCACCCTGGGTGTAAAGATGCCTGTGAGTAAGAAGTAGGTTCAACAAGGTAGGAAGTGGAATTAAGTGTAGACTGATTGATAGGAGAACGAGCTATGAAGGGTAGAACCATGGGCTGGATTGGTGCAGTGAAGCAAGAGTTTGTGAGGTCTGTGAGAAAGACTGAGTTGTACACATATTCCTGGAGATATGAGGGTGGATTATGTGTTCTAGTAGATTTCCTGACTTCAGGAAGGGATATAGGTAAGGGTGAATAAGGAAATAATCTAGGTTGGGAAATAGAACTTGTACCTGAGGTTGAAGGAAGAGTGCTAGAGTTGCTTGGGTTTGAAAAGGTAGGCAGTGAAGATAAGGGTGAGCTAGGAATAATGGGCTCATCCTTTATGTGTTCTGATGATGAGTCTACACTATGTTCTAGGGATGATGTAATAGGAAAAAAGGAATTTGTAGGTGTAGTAGTAGAGGCAAAAGTGTACTGATTTTCATAGAAGTATATATCTCTAGATACACTTACTCTTCTTGTATCCAACTCTAGAACTTTATAACCTTTCTACCCCAAGGGATAACCTAAGAACACACAATNTAGAGGCAAAAGGGTACTGATTTTCATAGAAGTATACATCTCTAGATACACTTACTCTTCTTGTATCCAACTCTAGAACTTTATAACCTTTCTGCCCCAAGGGATAACCTAAGAACACACAGGGCTTTGCCCTTGGGTCAAACTTACCTCTTCCGCTAGTCAAAGTAGATACAAAGCAAAGACAACCAAAACACTTCAATAGTTCATAAGAGGGTTTTTGTTTGAATAGAACAAAATAAGGTGTCCTTCCTTTAAGCACTCTAGAAGGTAACCTATTGATCAAATATGTTGCAGTTAGTACACATTCTCCCCAATAAGAAAGAGGAAGCTTAGATTGAAACAACAAAGCCCTTGCAATTTCCAGAAGATGCCAGTGCTTCCTCTCAACCACTCTATTCTGTTGAGGGGTTGCCACACACTATGTTTGATGTAGCACTCCTTGAGAGGCTAAAAATGCTGCCTCCTGAGAACCTTTCCCAAGTTCGAAAGCATTATTTGTTCTTATTTTTTGTACCTTTACACCAAATTGTCTTTCCACCATTGTGAGAAAATTTTTAAGGAGTCCAAAAGCATTGCTTTTGATGCTCATAAGGAAAGTCCAAACTGCCCTACTATAATCATCTACAGTGTCAAGAAATACTTAAAACCATTGTAAGTTGACTCCTTGTAAGGTCCCCAAACATCTACATGGATTAACTCAAACGCCTTTGTTGATTTAATTTGACTTAATGGAAAAGGAATTCTGGTTTGCCTAGCTTTAGGACAAATTTGACAGAAACAATCAGAGTTAGAAGGTAAAGAAACAAAACTGAGATGTTTCATTGCTGAAAAGGGCAAATGCCCTAACCTAATGTGCCAAAGGCTTATATCTGAAACTGAGCTTGCAGATAAGACTGATAATTGACTAAAGACATTTTGATTTAAAACTGAAAGTGGTACCAGACTTGTGCTATTTCTAACTCCACTTGATTCCAAAAGGTAGAGCCCATCCCTTGCCTTACCAAAAACTTTTGCCCTCTTCACTAGAAGCCCCTGCAACATACAGTTACTAGAGGTAAAAAAAAGAGGATAGAATGAAATTATAAACAAAACCTGTTAACAGATAATAGATTGTATCTGAAACTAGGTACATCTAATACATTTTCTAAAATGAAATCAGGAAGAATATGTGATTGACAATGACTTTGAAAAAATTAGGCAGATTTATGTTTAATGGAACTGGGAGAGGTGTCAAGGAAATAAAGGTATTTGAGTCAAAACACATGTGTTCAGATGCTCCAGAATCAATAATCCATGAACTAGAATTAAAAACTGAAAGACAAGTTCCAGAATATCTAGCAATAGTACCAGCCACAGCATTTGCATTGATATTTGTTTCAGAATTTCCTGAATCTGCACCTTTAACCTGCTTGATTAGTTGTACCAGCTGTGAAAATTGATCATGTGAGAGGTGTTGATTGAGTACTTCATTTTGATTGCTGTTGTTCTGATCTGATTCTTCAATTTGAAATGCTCCATTGCTTCTGGCGTGAACTTGATTTCCCTTTGTGAATTAGTCTTCTGGGAAACCTATAATTCAATATCAATCACTGACAGTATGACCTACTTTCTTGCAATGACTGCATGTTACTTTTCTTTCCCTTGAAAGTTGTGTTTCTTTGAGTAGAGTTAGTCACTTTTTGGATGTTGTTCCCAAACTTTTGATGTTGCATTTGGTTCCTTTGCATCTGCCTTGCACTCCTTTGTGCAAAGTCGTTTTGATTTGTTGCCATGAAAGATGAAGAATCTGGAGAAATGAGTGGGATAGAAAAAACTTCTTTCTGGCTTTCATTTTGCTTAGGGAATATGCATGGTTTATGCTTGGTAGGGGGTTCATCATTAGGATGGTTCCCCTTGCTTGGCCATAACTATCATTTAAACCCATAAGAAACTGAATAAGCTTTTCATCATCTAGTGACTTTTCTAATTTTTGCTTCCCTTCACAGACACATAAACAACTGCACTTCACATCACAATTAAGTGAATCCAATTCATCCCATAAACGTTGGAGTTTTGTAAAGTAGCTTGCTATGTCACTAGTTCCCTGTACTAACCTTGATAATTCCTTCCTCAGGTGATAGAGCTTAGCTCCATTTGACTGACCAAACATATTCAAGGCTGGTTCAGAGATCTTTAGTAGATTTAGAGTAAAATGACACTGTCTCCTATGTCTTTGGACAATGAGTTGAGCAACCAGGATGTTACTATTACACCTGCTCCAAGGCTGATAGTCTCTGGAAGTGAGAGCCGGAGCAGGGCAAGCACCATTGATGAATCATATTTTGTTTTTAGCAGATAGTGCAGACCTTCTCCATCCTTGGAATCCTTTTCCATCAAAAGCTGTGTTGACAAGAGACATTCCCGGTGCATCAGAAGAATGAAGAAAATATGCATAGTTTGAGTCGATGGTAGGGATTCCTCCAGTGGTGTTCAGAGCCACTGTGTTTGTAGTGTTATCCGACATTGTTTACAATTGATGAGGAAGACGATTGATGGATCGAGCTTTCACTGCTTTGATACCATTTAAGAATATTGAAAAGGAAAAGATAGTGATGGAAAGAAGTTTCTGCCTTTTTCACCCGTGCCTTTACATTCTTATTTACATAGTATACAAAAGAATATAAAAACAGCTACTTTATTCAATAAATGTCCTATCCTTATTTGTGGGTCACGTGCTCACATGCACTAAAGTGAAAAGTGGACAATGTGGACAAAATGGACAGCTGCTTTGTATCAAAAGGAGATAAAAAGTTTTGGTCAATGTGACCAAGGTTTACTTCGTGCAGACCAAATCTCCAATTTCTCTTTCCTTGTCTCGTCTTCTTCATCTCTAACTTTCTCGGTCATGGAGTCTTGTTTTAGCCATTAGAGACACCATAATTTGGGCGTGGACTTCTTTTTCCTTTTCTTAGCATCCTCACACTTGCTTTCCATTAGAGATTAATCAAAATTGGATTGACCCAGCTTAAGAGACTCAATGTGATTTTTTAGTCAAACATATCTTAAATTAACGCCTTATTCCTATAATGGTTTCACTACTCTTACACAACTTCAATCAATCTACACATCAACCGTTCAACACAATTCAATTGGACCAATCAATAGTAAGAATTTCCATATTTTTAGGTCATTAAGGCATTTTTTATCAAACACCTAATGGCACCTTGCACTTTCTCTACAACTTTCTTCAATGATATTTTCTTCATCCAACAACCATTTCCATGCCAGCAATTGACTAACCATCAATTTTATCAATTAAATCATTTTACAATTTCTATAACACATAAAAAAGAGTAATGTTTTACAATTTCTATAACACATAAAAAAGAGTAATGTCAGTAAAGGAAGGAAAACGGTTAATTAAATAAAAAAAATATTTTTATTTTTTTTGAATAATGACATACATCCCTGAAATCTGAAGATTCTTTCACCAGAATCAAATTTAGCAGTAAATGAATGTGAGATTCATTGTCTACTATCACCAGAGTGAAATTCATAACAACTTCTTCTATGAAATTAATGAAGAAAAACCATTAATTTGGAACAACATCTAAGCACATCCGTTCGATTTTTGAGTTTTTCGTAAGCATCCTAGTGCCATAATTTGGACCTCTAGCCAAGGAGTTGATTATTTGACTATTTAGTTTGGAGTGAATACATAGTTTTTATAGCTTTTGCTCATAGGCTACCAAAAATACCATTGTACCATAACAATTATTACTACTACTTTTTATATTCAATTATTTCTTTCTTTTTAACCTTGAAAAAAAAAAGATTTGGTATGGAGAGAATAATATCAATAATAAAGCTTTTTCATTTTCCTTCCAAACAAAGCTTAGGTTGCCCAAAGTTATTAAAGAAGAAATTGAATCAAAGAATATTTAAGAAGATCACCATCTCTCATCCTCTCCCTCTCATCTAAAATTTCAAAAAAATAAAAATAAAATCAATGAGAATAATATCCCTCACTTCAAAACAAGAATCCAATTAAAACCCCAAAACCCATAAATAAACCAGCCTTCAATGTAGCAGAATTGCTAGTAGGAGCCATAGCTGGACCATCAAATTCTGTCGGAGAAGGTGCAGGTGCACCCATGAATCTCCTCATGTTGTTCTCAGATAAGGTCACTACTATCAGTTTCTGGCCTTGCTCACAATGCCCTTTTGCTCCACTTATGAAATAGTAAGCTCCTGAATTTGTTAGCTCTATCTTTGTATTCCCATCATTGTGCACTGCTATTGGACTTGACGTGTTGCATGTCACATAATCCCTCTTGCTCACTTCTAAAACTGAGTCTTTTTTCCCATCATACTTCCACACTGCCAAAAGAAAAAATTAAAAAATAAAATTGGTATGTTCATGTGTTTATGTTGTATACACCCATAATAATGACGAAGTCAGAAATTTTTCTAAGAGTGTTCGAATTAAAAGAAGTAAAAAATAATTTCAAACAAAGGATGTTCAATATATATTATATACCTCTAAAACCTAATATTTTAGTTAAGTACTTAGAGTATTTTTCCGGCGAAGGTGAAACTTCGCCCCTACTACTTTTTTTTTTTTTTACATATAAGACGTTGCTTATTTTAGTTTTTTGAGGTAATTAGTTCCACTTACTGTGAGCAATAATGACATATAGTTATTTTTAGGTGACTTGTATAAAAACTCTTTTACACGTATGTCTGAGCTAATAATAAAATTGGAGATAAAGTTCAGATAATTATAACCATACCAAGAGAATCTCCAATGAGGAAGCGAGATTTTTCAGCCCATCGATTGAGAGAATCTGATTCAGAAGATGGGATTTTCCAAGAATCAGTTTTCCCCCCTACCAAATGGTCTCTGGCTTCTGAGAAGCTCAAGAGGAGGAAGAAGAGAACAGCTACTAGTGAAGAAGAAAGCACATTTCTTGAAAAACCAGCCATTTAGTATGAACCGATATGCTCAAAAGAAAAAGAAGTTTTTCTTCAACAGCTACACTAGTTTTTATAAATAGAAGTTAATGGAGCAAGAGAGATTTGTATGGTAATTTTTTCTTTCTATGTATATATATAGGGGAGGAGAAAAACTAGCCGTTAGAGTAATGCAGCTAAAGAAACAACAAAACTAGCCGTTAGATAAAAAGTAGGAGTACAAGATTAAGGGTTTGAAACGGTCAAAAATTATTTGGGCTTTTATCCGTTATCTTTACTTTACTTGGGATTAATCCATTAAGATATATGGTCTGAAGAGTCCCGATAATCGAGGACGGATGGTCAAGAATCGCCAAAGCTTATATGCCTATATCCTCAACGAGGTTAAACAAATTCATAAAAATTAACCCCCACAATTTAAGGTTATGTCAAATCCAAACAAAAGTCAAAGTTGAGCCATAATGGTCAAACTTCAAAACAAAAGTCGAACTCCGTTAACGCGTAGCCTCATGAGTCTTTTATAATTTCATCTAAATCCATTTAGATCTAGTGATGTTCCGTGAAGTTTTTAACTCTGTTAGTTTGAGGGATCAAAATTTCACATTTATATTAATTGAAAGTCAAATTCGCTCAATCAAATATACTGGGATCAAACTGGAATAAGGCTATAACTCAAGGACTAAAATTACTACTTCCTTTTTTTAAAATTTTGTCATATAGCGGGATGTCATTTACAATGGAAGCATATTCGCTTTGGTTGTAATTAAATTTAAATCTGAAACTTCGTCGTTTCGATAACTCTGTTTTAACCTGGTAACCACTAGCCGAACACTTGTTGTGAAAAATCAGAAGAGCCAAAAGACAATAAATAAAAAGGATTTAACTAATTATACAAACGTTATTTACAGAAATAATATAATATTTTATAATTATTAATATATTCTGACTGATTATAACAAGTTATTTTTGTATTTTTAAAATTATGTAAAGTACTACTACAAAACCTATTATCTTAGATAAACTTAACCTCTTTAATTATGTTAGAAAAATGTGTACACTGCTATGTAAGTTAATCACCAAACGAAAATATAAGCTAAGGTTTCTTAACCTTTAAGCACGTTGCCTGGTGAGTCACCACGTACCAGCACTTATCCTTTACCGCCGCTACGTCCATACTTCATACTTGAGAATATACATGCAACTTCTCGTAACGTGACACAAAAGAGAGAACGTGTCTACTCCCCACAGCTTTATCCTCAGCTCCACCTCTTTACGTACTCAAACATCAAGTAAAAAAAACAAAACCTTATTAGGGTTTATCTCTTCTCAATAGAAGAAAAGAAATGGCTGGTGGTGTTATGAATCGGTTGCGAAGTTTACCTTATAGCCAAGGCACTATAGCGGTCGGCGGCGCCGTCGTCGTTGGCGGAATTTGGTACTACATGATGTACATCAAGAAGAAACCAGAAGATGCTGCTAGAGATGCTACTAAGTTTGCCAGTGGTATTGTACGTCCTGAGGATACTCGTAAGTAGATAATTTAGGCATGTAAACTCTAGTTAACTTTTTCCTTCCTTTTCCTCTTTTTTTTTTTCTTTCCTGGTGTGTGTTTCTGGCAAAAACTTAGAAGTATCATATTTTCATATCAGTCAATATTTCCTTTGTATTTTCACATTACTGTATTGTAAGAAAGAATTCAGGACGGTGGTCGAAATCCGATAAAGAGTATGTACCAATTCTCAGTGTGTGTAATAACTCCCTTGCTGAATTAACTAATATGCGCGACCTACATCGGCCGGCTTAGCAAGTGTCCGAACAAAAATTCTACTGTATAATTTTGCTTTATGATTTTTGTTTTATTAAAATTTGCCTTATTCGGTGATGGAACGAAACATAAAATCGGAGATATGGCGTGCTTGGTCCGTTGAGAAGTGGAAGTAGTCCAAATTTGCAAATAGTAATTTTTAAGTTGCATTTAATATATCAATTAAAAATACAAGTTTAATATTTTATTACTATACAAAAACGATCAGTATTGTATCGTTCAAATGACAAATCGATGTATTAAAAATTCTTATGCTATTATCAGTAGTTCGTTTATGTCGTAAAAAAGACATTCTATAGAAGTATGGATGTTCATTTTACTATACTAATTTTTTTTCTTTTTAAAATAAGAATTTGAATTAATTGATCACAAATAATTGACCAATTGATAGAGTAATCCGATACTCAATTCTTAATTTTTCTATTTTCTATTCGATATCTGAAAAAAGGTTGCTCACTTTTTCTATTCTATTTCTGGGAAAAAAAACAAGAATATGTACTAATCGGCCAGTCAGTTTTGCTAGTGTAAGAACCGATAATTTCAGAGCTAGCATGTATAAAATGTGTAATATTTTGAAACACACATTATTAAACCTGTCATATTGATGACAACAACAATTAAGCTCGCACCGGAAGTTTTTTCATGTCATTAAGTGTGACAATTCACAAGAGGAAAAAGGAGGGATGCTTTAATTATTTCACCAGAATAGATGCTTGCCTCTAGAAAATAACCAAACGAGATATATATACGATTATTAGCACTAGAAAAAACTCTTGCCACAGCCGTACAACAATTTACAAAAAAGCATAGTTTATATGGTTAAGTGATAAAATTAATCCATGACATTGATGTGAGAATGTGTTTAGTTACTTTAATAATGGATTAAGTTAGGGCACAATCTAATTAAACTAATTTATTTTCGGTAGATCAAATCCGCCCAAACTGACCCATGAATAGTAATTGTCCTTTAAAGCTTCTAAAAGTGTGTTAGGTATGAAGGAAAATATTTTTAAAAAAAATCAAAAAATATTTTCTTGTGTTTGGTCAGAGAATCGAAAATATTTTTTAGCAAAATAATTTTCTATGCTACTCTTCTCAACCCCTCCACTCAAATCCCCATGTGTTCCCATGCTACCACCCCCGAGCCCTCTCCCCAATAATTCAATATTTTCAGGACTTTATTTTCTTCAAGAATTCAATTATTTTTTTTAAAAAATCATACAAACACAAAGGAATTAATGTGTTGTTGTACTTTTTCACACAAGAACAATATTGAAATTTGAGCTTCATAATTGAAAAAAAACTCTTTTTCTTGTTGAAATAAAACAAAAGTACTATTTCTACAACATGAGAAGAAAATACTCATTTTGTTGAAATGAAAAAGTAAATACTCTATCTACGACATGAAGAAAGTACTCTAAATAATACTTCTGTTTAGGGTGGGGTGGAGGGTTCGGGTAGGATGGGAAAAAATTGAGGAAAGAGATTATTAGGCATAATTTGATATTTATTCCAAAATATAAGACAAGAAGCAATATGAAAAAAAGAAAAAAAAAATTTATCATCATAAACCATTCTAGAATAATATTTACGAAAAATAAATATAAAAATTATTGTTATATATGTGAAATTATTTTATTTATACTTGTTTAAAAGTTGAGAATATTATAAATATTTAGGTCAATTTGAACGGGTTGGATTATAACCCATTGTTTAGTCCTTCTTGACCCAATCTATCTTAGGTCAAGTAAACTTTGGGTAGGGTTACATGACCCGTTTAATAAATCAAACCATCTTAATCAGCCTAAATACAACCCAAACATCTCACTTGACACCCCTACTTATGATCAGGTGATAGTTGACCTATACTTTCTTTATATTCAACTATCACCGACTATATACTGAGCTGGCATTCTGTAACCAAACCAGCTTGGCTATACTAATTAAGCTAACTCTTATTGTCTATAATTAATTTTTACAACAATCTTAAGAATATTTCTTATAATGTTCTTATGGAGAATATCAAATCTAATGGTTTCCCATCTGCTATTCAAACTCGCGAACACGAAAGAAACAAAAATAAACTAACTTATCCATTAATTATGGAATTTCTAGAGAAACATATGACGAACATACAAATATCACTATTATTGGTGGCTTGGTGCTCGGGTTGCCGGCTCTACTTTGGCATGCACTCTTGGCAAGTTGTTTAAATTTTGTATACTATCTCATTATGGAGGACAAAGTGCACCATAACAGGTATGCTTTTGCTAATATTTGAATATGCCTGAGCCCACTTAAATATAAATTTGTGGAGTTAGTAATTCTTTATTTTTTGTAGGAAAGATAAAGTTTGCATTAACTATTGTAAAACATGCGTACAGAGAAGGATGATGGTGAGGCATCATCAGATTACAACTACTACAGTGATTACTACTAGAAATTTCAGTATGAAGTACATTAGGGATAGGTCCCTGTCCTGTTTCCGTGCAAAAAGATGGATCCCTAGTAGGCGTTAATCCAGCTTCCAGCTGATGTTTTGTCTGCATTGTTGCCCTGGTGTTTGTTTGTGTGTTGTTTGCAATCATAAGTACGCCTTGTGGGAATTATCTTGAAAAGGCTGTTCCAAGTAGATCTGCACGGAACTGATCAGTAACAAAAAATGGTGGCACGTTAAAAATAGTTGGCTCTGCAGAGCATTCCATTTTACTGCCTCCTTTTGCTAGTATATCTGCTACAAAATTCTGCTCTCTGTACGTGCGAGTGACTTTCGCGTCATGTAGCTGGTGGAGAAGCTTCCTGCAATCGGATGCAATATTAGTATATACAGCATTATCATTTTTCAGTGTTGTGAGTATCTCCGCAACATCCACGTTTATGTGAATTGGTTTAAGGTTCCTTTGAACAGCTAACTTGAGCCCTTGAAGTAAAGTTTTCAGCTCCGCATGTATGCTTGAAGTGTGTGGTATACTGCCACTATAGACAATAACCCACGCTCCTGTATGATTTCGAATGACACCCCATATTCCAGATTTTCCTGGGCGTATGGAAGCTGCCCTGTCCGTGTTCAGCTTGTAGTGGTTTTGTGGTAGTGGTTCCCATTTAACATTTTTATGAGTTTTGGGGGTTTACGTGTCACGCCCCAACCTCAGGAAGCGTGACCGACGCTCAACCGATTAAACCCGTCCAAACAAGCCTGTTAGATACTTTCTATCCAACTCACCTATGATCAAGAAAAGACGTGATTTCATTAATTAGACAATAGGAAGTTTATTCATACAATATT